ACTTGGTATCCGGAGTTTGAGACCAGCCTGGCCAGCATGGTGAAACCCCATCTCTACTAAAGATTCAAAAATTAGCTGGGCATGGTGGTGTGTACCTGTAATCCCAGATACTCAGGAGGCTGAGGCAGGAGAATCACTTGAACCCAGGAGGCAGAGGTTGCAGTGAGTGAGCCAAGATCACGCTACTACACTCTAGCCTGGGCAACAGAGTGAGACTCCATCTCAATGAATCAATGAATGAATGAATGAATGAATAAAAGGTGAAGTGTGGGAGGGGTTGCTCGGTACTCAGCATCTAGGATGAAACCTGACTGCAGCCATTGATCCCAGTTGAGTTCAGTGGAATGTTCAGTTCAGCCCAGGGAAGAAAAGTTCTTCCAGGCTCTTGTACCATGCACTCTCTTAAGGACAGAGAGCGTTTTCTTTGCATCTAGACCCACTCACCCTCTGCCCCTCTGCTCAGTGATTGTAGCTCTCTACACTGTTATTTCATCTTCTCATCCCTGTTACATCTTTGCGCTGATAAACGCAGCTCCCTTGATCTCAACAAATGCAGTGCCCCACTCTGGCCCTGAGCACCCTCCATTAGAGCATCCGGATGAGCTACCTACCCACTCTCCATGTTTTCCTTTTTTCCTATCCTCTTTCATACTGAACACGCTTTCCTCCTGCATGTGCCTTGCTGTGCAAAGTGGAGTTCATTGTTGGAGACAGACACAGAAACAGATAGTTACGATACAAGGTACCAAGTTTTTTTTTTTTCTTTCTTTTTTTTTGAGACAGAGTTTTGCTCTTGTTGCCTAGGCTGGAGTGCAATGGTGCGATCTTGGCTCACTGCAACCTCTGCCTTCCAGGTTCAAGCGATTCTCCTGCCTCAGCCTCTGGAGTAGCTGGGATTACAGGCACTGCATGCCTGGCTAATTTTGTATGTTTAGTAGATGCAAGATGGGGTTTCTCCATGTTGGTCAGGCTGGTCTTGAACTCTTGACCTCAGGTGATCTGCCTGCATCAGCCTCCCAAAGTGCTAGGATTACAGGTGTGAGCCACTGTGTCTGGCTGTAGCAAGTTTTATAACGGGGAAGTAGCAAGTTTTATAATGGGGAATAGCTATGCAATGAAGACTGTGGTGTCTTACTAAGGTGGGCTCCAGAGACTCTCAAAGGAGCTCTTTTTATTTTAAAAATTGTATTGTGAATTACATATGCAATAAATAATAATAGCTAATGTTTTTTGAGCACGATTCTAGTTGCTTTGTATAACTTAATCCATGTAAACCTATGAGCTATTTTTATTTAAAAAATTGTATTGTGAATTACATATGTAATTAATAATAATAGCTAACATTTCTTGAGCACTATTCTAGTTGCTTTGTGTGACAATCTATGTAAACCTAGGAGCTACTTTTATAAAAAAAATTGTATTGTTAATTACATATGTAATTAATAGTAATAGCTAACATTTCTTGAGTGCTATTCTAGTTGCTTTGTGTGTCTTAACCTCTGTAAACCTCAGAGTAAGCCGAAGAGATACATACTGTTATCATCCCTATTTTTGAGTTGAGGAAATTTAGGCTCAGAGAGATTAAGCACACAGCTAGATAAGGCTTGAGCCGAAATTTGAAGCTGGATTGCTTGTCTTGTCTCCACAGCCTCCCTCATAAGCACTACAAGTTCTTTCCGGTAATGACCAGAAAGCAACATAATCAAGTTTCCGTTCTTGCCAGGAAGTTTCATCATATCGTAATATTTTGCCATCATTTCTTCCGACTTTTGTGACATATACAACAATATGGCTGTGCTAAATGTAATGTGGGGTTCTGGATTGGATCCTGAAAGGAAAAAAGGGCATTTGTGGAAAAATTGGTGAAATCTGAATAAAATCTAATGTTTAGTTGTACCAGTGTTAATTTCAGAGTTATGTTCATTTCTGTACCATAGTTTTGTAAGATGTCAACACTGGGGGGAACTGGACAAAGGGGTATCTGGGAACTCTTTGGACTACATTTGCAATTTTTCTGTAAATTCAAAATTATCCCAAAATAAGACTTTTAAAATGACAACATTATGGATGGAGATGAACCTTCATTGACATGTTTCTCTCATGGCCTCTTCCCAGAGATCATCCTCATCCAGAATGTGGTGTTTATCATTCAAAGGGCCTAACACAACTTTTAGTATACTGAATGTTAGCCGTGAGCAATGCGAAGGATTTCTCAAGGCGTTTAGGTTTCAATGATTGTGGGTCTTCCGAGAGACCTTGCCCCCTTTCAGACAGGGGCACTGCTATAAGTCCCTCTCCCAATCAACCCAGTTTCACCCTCACCAACTACCCAGCCCAGACTTGGCCCACAAAGGAGGCCACGCCCTCCCTGTGGCGCCTGTCACTCAACCTTCCCTGAGCTGTGCACCACACACCCACAGGAAGGCAGCTGGCTCTGAAGTTCTCTGAATTTGAGGACAAAAGACCTCTGTGAGTTTTCAGACTCTGTTACAGTCTGGGTCAGCAGACAAGAGTCCCAGGGCTCAGTCGTCTTCTCCAGGAGAGAAATTATTCATACCATATGGCGTGTTCTAAGAGTTCCTACGGGAAGCCCAGAAAGCTCCGTATTTACTCAGAATTCAAGGTGTATACCCAGACCACAATCTTACCCTAGGGGACCCAGCCCTAGGACAGGGGATGGCCGAGCTCTGAAATTTGAGTTATTTCCCAGTGTGTCTAACAGTCATTAGAAGGACAACCGCTCTGAGATCTTATTCAGCTATTTACTGAAATGTTTGTTTTTCCCTATTGTCTATTTATTTTTTATTTGTTAATTATTTTTTAAGATGAAGTCTCATTCTGCCACCCAGGCTGGAGTGCAGTGGCGCAATCTCGGCTCACTGCAACCTCCGCCTCCCAGGTTCAAGCAATTTTCCTGTCCCAGCCTCCACACCCACCTGCACACCACCATGCCCAGCTAATTTTTGTCTTTTTAGTAGAGATGGGGTTTTACCATATTGGTCAGGCTGGTCTCCAACTCCTGACCTCAGGTGATCCAGCCACCTTGTCCTCCCAAAGTGCTGGAATTATAGGCATAAACCACCACGCCCGGCCACAACGTAACGATTTTTAAGCGTACAGTTCAATGTCATTAAGTACATTCACATTCTTGTGCAAACCTCACCACTATCCATTTCCAGAACTCTTTCATCTTCCCAAACGGCAACTTTCTACCCACTAAACAACTCCCCATCCCACCTTCCTGGCAGCCCCTGGGAACCACTATTCTACTTCCTGTCTCTAGTATAATTTGACTACTCCAGGTACCTCTTATAAATATAATCATACTTTTGTGACAGGCATGTTTTACTTCATAACATCCTCAATGTTTATTCATGTTGCAGCACGTCTCAGAATCTCATTTCCTTTTAAAGTTGTATAATATTCTATTATATGGATACATCACATTTCATTATCAATTAATCCATTGTGGGACACTGGAGTTGCTTTCATCTTTTGACTACTGTGAATAACACTGCTTTCAGCATTACTGTACAAGTATCTTATTTGAGATCCTACTTTCGATTCTTTTGAATACACACCCAGAAGTGGAATTGCTGGATCATATGGTAATTCTATGCTTAACTTTCTAAGGAATGGCCTTTTTATAGCAAGAAAGGATTCTGGGGCGTAGGGGGGTGGTGAGAAAGAGGGATAGCAGTTCTGAGAATCGAGATTACTGCGACATTGGTAAGAACCTCAAGGTTGGTAGGCTGCAGGGATCTAAAAGGTAATCTAGCAGAGCTGCCCTCGGACACCTACAGCCCCGCTTCTGTGTGACTTTTTTCTAGGGGTGAAATGTTCTGCGGTCTCCCTGCTCTGTGTTTACCTCTTGTGGCCACAGAGATAACGTGAATCTGTCTGCTTTGGCATACCCCTCAGGCCTTGGAAGACAGCTTTCTTGTCTCCCTGTCTTTTGTCTTCTAGAGAAAGCTTTGTGCTTTAAATTGTGTTTGTGTGTGTGTGTGTGTGTGTGTGTGTGTGTGTGTGTGTGTAGAAACAAGATCTTGCTATGTTGCCCAAGCTAGTCTCAAACTCTTGGCCTCCAGCAATTCTCCTGCTCCAGCCACCCAAAGTGCTGGGATTACAGGTGTGAGCCACCACGCCCGGCCATGACTCAGTTTTGACCTTATCCTAGGTACTTTCTGAATGAGTTAATTTCTGTATAATACTTAAAAGAGTGGTATTCTAAGTGGAATGAAATACCCCCGGTAAAGTCCAAGCAGCATGGCCTAGAGAGTCTATCACTTCCTTTATTCTAAATCAGGGCATCAAATGACTGCTTAGGCGGGGCAGGGAACAGACAGGGAGAGTCAGGCCCTTGTGAGACAGCTAGGATTTGGTAAAATCCAGGGTTAAATGGGAAGCATGCTGGCTTGCAAAGGGATTTACCTGGACAACAGCAGCAGCCCCAACCAAAGAAAGGATTTACCCCAAGGACAAACCATCTAGTCCATTGTTTTATTTATTTTTTGATAGGTAGGTAAAAGGCAGATGAAGGAGGGCAACCATCACAATGTGGCTTCCTTTCAGCTAGAGCCCTGAACACCTTTTCCCACAAGTACTGCAAAATACCTCCCTCCTATTCTTTACTCAAACCATTGATGTTTTCCATTCAACTGCAGGGCCCGACGTGACACTGACCTCTGCTAAATGCCCTGTTAGAATGATCTCAGCTCTTTAACCATTCAAGATTTTTCTAGTCTTATTCTGACATCTTGTATATTTAGTCCACCTCCCAAGTTCACATCTTAGCTTGTCAATGCTGCTTAGCAATGATGAAAGAATTTTAAGAGCTTAATTGAGTTTTTCAGTCCTCTCTGTAAAGCAGTGCAATATGTACCACCTCAACTGGGCAGCTGCTCTTACAGCTTTCATATTCAGCTGATTTCTGAACTCTTCCAAACAGTCTGGCATAGAATAAAGCTTTGTAAAGAATCACAACTTAAAGTCTTACTTACATTTCACGACGTCCTTTTAATGTGACATTCTCTCTTCTCTAATAAGAATGGCAGACAAACTGTGAATAGGCCATAATATTTAATGTTACTATGTTTTCCTGTGGATATTTTTAAAGGAATACAGTAACTCTTTAGGCGACAAATGGTTTTTCCTTCTTTGAATTGAATGCCAAGTAAAAATTGGGTAAATTTATAAATTTGTTTAACCAAATAAACACAGTGGGGGCAGTCAGACCTAAAATATTCATCTTATTTTTCTTTTTTTTAGATGGAGTTTCACTCTTTCACCCAGGCTGGGGTACACTGGCACAATCTTGGCTCAGTGTAACCTCCCTCTCCCAGGTTCAAGCAATTCTCCTGCCTCAGCCTCCCAAGTAGCTGGGACTACAGGCACATGCCACCATACCCGGCTAATTTTTGTATTTTTAGTAGAGACGGGGTTTCACCATGTTGGCCAGGCTGGTCTCGAACTCCTGACCTCATGTGATCTGCCCACCTTGGCTTCCCAAAGTGCTGGGATTACAGGTGTGAGGCATCACGCCCGGCCCCATCTTATTTTTCTTTTCGCCTTCATTCCCAGTAATCTAGGCCAAATTCAGAGCCCACATAATCAGCTCATCTCAGGCAGCTGGTTATATTCACCCCCTTTACAGACCCCCTACTGTATTTTTAATCTTAAGTGACCCTGTTTTTGGACTCTGTATCCACTTTCTCAAGCCAGTTTGTAACACCCTACACATCAGAAGAATGTTGAAGTAAACGGTAGCCACCAGAAAGGATTTCTGTCTCCCAAACGAGTCCTTTGCATCCTGTTCATTAACAGAGCCTCTAAGTTCATAATAAGGCCAAGATACATTTTTTTCCAAAACATCTTCAAGAGGAAAATGTTAATTTAGTCATCAAGTTATGATCGGTGATCTAACAGTCGTAGAATTAAATGAGGCAGGAAGTACTATGAGAAATGCAAGTAACACTTAGAGAGGTGAAGCCTTCACAGTTCTTTAAAAATGCTTCAGGGACTTTTTAATAAGATGTGTTACAGCATGAAACAGAGCTAACCAACATTTCAAAGGAAAGAAGACTTTTTTCCCCTAAAGATACACATTCACAGTGACTTTATTATCCACAGCGTTCAGCCAGTTTTCATGTTGGATAGATAAAGAACTTTCTCTCAGTACCTTTGACCCTTAACATCTCTGTTGGGTGTGAGTTAAACTCGAGCTGATATGAGAACAGTAAATACAGTCAAACCCACACTCATTTCAATGAGTGCAGCTGGGAGAATTCACAGACATGGCCTAAACAGTGATAAAAAGGGACTGCAATAACGATTTATTAAAGAAATATTTATCAAGGGCCTAATACCTACATGATACATAATATGCTAGAATACATTTGTAAATATTTGTTGAGGAACTAATTATAAAGACTATGCCAGGTGCTTTAGGGTTCAGCCATAACCTATTCTCGGCAATATCTTTTATAAGTGGGTGCTTGTTATACATATTACCGTACTACCTTTAATAATCTCACTTTAATAGTCATTGTTCTAGGCTCCATCTGATGTTATGATATGAATCTTTTTAGCTATACTCTGCATCCAGAAGATTATACATAATTAGCATCAATTTCTAAAAACAGTAATAACCCCAATAGTTCCGAGCAAATACATACACTACAGAACAGTCATTCAACAAATGTTTATTGGATGCCGACTATGTAGCATATGCATACATATATGTAACACACATGCAAAGAGCAGTCTAGTCAGTAGTTCAGGAGGATGGAATTGGATGTTAAACAGGCCTGGGTTTAAGCACCGCTGCCACCACTTAAAAGCAGTGAAACATTGAACAAGTCTTAGGTTCCTTAACAGTAAAATGGAAATACAAGTACCTATCTGGAATAATTGTTGTGAGGATTAAATACAGTAACATTGATGAAATACTAGCCCAGGACCTGGCATAATTGCTAATTTTAAAAGAGCAACTTGGCAAAATGCTAGTTGGGAGGCTAAGATGGGAGGATTGCTTGAACCTGGGAGTTCAAAACCCAGCCTGGGAAAAATAGCATGACCCTGCCTCTAAAAAATAAAAATAATTAGCTAGGCATGGTGGTGCGCACCTGTAGTCCCAGCTACTCAGGAGGCTGAGGTGGGAGGATCACCTGAGCCCAGGTGTGTGAGGCTGAATTGAGCTAATCTCCCACAGCTGCACTCTGGCCTGGGCATCAGAGCAAGACCCTATCTCAAAGGAAACAAAACAGTGACATTGTTTTTGTACCTATATATGTATGAAAGTTTCTAAATAAAAATATTAATTCAGAAATCCGTAACAGGCATGGTGTTAAAAAGATGACAGTGATTTTAATGAAAATATTTTAAAGGTAACAACAGCAAGAGGAAAAAAAAAAAAAAAAAAAAGGAGAAAGGCGTATTTTAGCCCAAAGGAAGGACCAAAAAAAGAGAAGACACTAGGAGTTTGGTGCAAGTTTGCCGCCAGAAGGCCAGTGGTAGTATCCATGCTTCAAACTCACATTCCGGGCCAGGATTCATGTCTGTAATCCCATGGCTTTGGGAGGCTGAGGCAAGAGGATTGCTCGAGGCCAGGAGTTCAAGACCAGCCTGGGCAACATTAAAAAATCAGCCAGGCATGGTGGCTCATGCCTATAGTCTCATCTACTCGGGAGGCTGATGCAGGAGGAGCTCTTGAGCCCAGGAGGTCTAGGCTGCAGTGAGCCATGACTGTGCTACTGCACTCTAGCCTGGATGACAGAGAGAAACCCTGTCTCTGAAAAATGAACTCAAATTTTGGGGTTTAGTTCTACGTCCTCCAAGGACTGCAGACTTCTCAAACCAAGAGTAATGATGGTCCTCACAAGGACGAACTTAGATCCGCCCCCTCTGCAGAAGAATCAGGGAATTATGACTCATAGGAGCCACCGCAAAAATCACTAACTGGAAATCCTTGCTGCAGCTACACTGCAAAAGAATCAGATTGATTTTCCAAATTCCCCATGTGATACAAGCGTGGCCACCTGCCAAAGAGCCAGTGGGAGAGAGGGTCACTTGCCTTCCTGGTGACACAGAGATTTCCTAGCCCTGTTACCAAATGAAAAAGCAACGCAAGGGCTTCTAAAAAGCCATCCCAATGACCTTTCGGCTTTGAGAAGACCAGAGTGTTTGGGGTTTTGCCCTCTTTCGGCAGTTTATTCATTCTTACATGGGAAAGTCGTATTCTGAGGTTTCTGTGGTGCATGAAGCTTTTGCCTTCACCATCTGTTCCTGTGTCTTCCTCGGGTGACACCATCTAATGGAGTTTCGGGCTGTTTGACTCAACCGTGCATGCTCCTCAATGTCAGGAAAATAATCCTACCCTAAATCAGCCAAACAGAAGCCAGGATCTAACTGCAAACGAGGGACCCAGTTTGCTTCACAGCATGGAAGAGACCAGTTTCATTGCAGCTACCTGGAAGACGGTTGCTAATTAGACTGCAACAGGGTTCCTTGCTCGTCTGAAGAAGATGAACACTGTGTAGGTAGGTTAAAGTGTTTCTGAGACTTTTCAGTGCCAGCCGAGAACATGGGCAGCTTAGGAGGGCAGGCTGGGTGCAGATTGAGAGCTTTAAGTGCCACTGAGAACGGTGACTGGTGGGTGAATTCCTGGCAGTCCTGTTGCCTTCAGGAGCTGGCCCCTGCAGACTGCTTGCTCAGAGAGTGGCCAAGGACTGTGGCGAAACCTTAGGGGGGAGTATTTGATGAAGAAAAATGCAGTTGCTTTTATGGAGCAGGGTGAGCCAAAGACCTTCATTGGAGAGATTCCAATCCAATTCTCAGTTGCGAGTAAAATTGAGATTATTTGTCTGGGTCATGATGTAGTTATAAGGACTCACTCAATAAACATATGCAGATGGGCTCATGTAGGATGTTATTAGACAAGGCACATGAAACCAAACATACTCACCATGCACTTATTCTTTCTCTCCTTCTCACTCCTTACTGCTAGCCCTCCCTAACCCTTCAGCCTCTGTTATATTTCTGATCTATGCCAAGGCTGTTTCACATCCTTCATAGCTTCCACTCACCCACCTCTCACAGGCTCCTATATCCTCTTAACACTTCTCTCCATTTTCACATACCCTCAGCTTGAGCCCTCATCATCTTTCTCTTGGACTGTTGCAAGAGTCTCCACACCATTGCCTCTGCCTCCAGTCTCTTTTACCTCCAATCCTTTATTCGTGCAACTGCCCACATTCTCTTTCTGAAATCCAAGCTTGGTCATATCTTTAGCTTAATGGACTCCAGTAGCTGCCCAGTACCCATGGAATAAAGCTCAAATCCAGGAGCTTTCAAGATCTGCTCCCTCTGCCATTGCAGCTTCATCTCCTGCAAGTGTCCAGGGCTGTTGTCACCCGGAATACCTGCTGTTCTCCTAATATGACCTTGGAATCTCCTCCTTACTTCCTGTCTATTCCCTCAGCCTGGAATACCTTTCTCTTGTCCTGCCTGTCAAACCCCTCCTCTTCTTTCAAGACAAAGCCACCTCCTTTGTGAAGCCTTCCCCATTCTCTCTCCTCCAGATCTGGGTTAACTACTCTGCCTCCTATTCGTGTGTGTGTGTGTGTGAAAGAGACTGTGTGTGTGTGCGTGTGTTTAAATATACATAACATAAAATTTATCATTTTAACCATGTTTAAATGTACAGTTCAGTGACATTAAATATATTCATATTCTTGTGTAACCATCATCACCACTATCCACTTCCAGGACATATTAAACTTCCCCAGCTGAAATTGTGTACCCATTAAACACTAACTCCTCATTTTCTTCTTTCCGCATCCCCTGGCAACCACCATTCTATTTCCTGTCTATGCAAATTTGACTACTCTATATACCTTATACATAGGGTTTGTCCTTTTGCGACAGGCTTTTTTCACTTAGCATCATGCCTTCAAGATTTGGCCATGTTGTAGCATGAGTCAGAATTTCTTTTAAGGTTTTCATATTTCATATTTATTATTCATACACAATGAATAATATTCCATTGTGTATGTGTGTGTG